TGCCCATGGCAGGGGTGGAACTGAATGATCCTTAATGTCCCTTCCAACCCAAACCACTCCAGGATTCCCTAATCTTGGCAGAGCTGATGTTCCCTCCCATACATCACTTGGGCTTTGGGTACAATCCCATGACTTTTGCACCCTCCTGACCCTTTGGCATTTGGAATTCTGCTGTAGAACAAGAAGACAACTGTGACAACTTTGCTTCCCAACATCCTGTGCTGAAAGATCTTCCCCAAACCCAATATTTTGGGGTTCTCCCACTGCTGAGCTCCGTGTGTGGGGCTGAGGGGAAGGGCTGGGGCAGGCACAGAGGTATGAGAGATAAAATACGGGTTTTTATATATAGGAGTATCACAAAGCTGTAAGATATCCAAGTTCCAAATGGGACTGGGTGCCAGGGTCTTTTTTGGCCGGATAAGGGAAATGTAAAAGGTCCTAAAAATTAAAATCTTTCAGGGCCACGTGGAAATTTTGTACACGGGGGGTTTCTTCCCTCTCTTTGGGCTGAGAACAAAGGAAGATCCATAATTTTTGACAGAGGACACCTCGCAGCCGATCTTCAGGGAGAAGAAACATTTTTAGGCAAAAAATGAATATATTAAACTCACCTGAAAAGGGTGGGATTTTGTGAAACTATAAAATGTATAGAATTTAAACCCAAAGGGTCTTTTTCCTCCCAGAAACTCTGCGAGATGAAGACCCAGTGCGCTGAATAAACCCTTTGCTTTGTCTTTCTACATTTAAAAGAGGAATTTTTTCCCCACAGGAGGGGCCCAGCTGTGGAATTCCGGGGTGCTGTGGGAACACTCACCGTGCACCTTGGGCACCTTGGCTTTCAGGTGTCGCTCACACTTGGCCTTGGCCTTCAGCAGGAGGAAGATCTGCTCCTCCTTGGTGATGACATCGTCGGCGTCCACCTGCACGGGGGGAGAGAGGGGCAGAGCTCAGCAGGACACGGAATTCTTTGGGCTGAGGGCAAAATGTTCTTTGCACCCACAGCTTCAGAGAATCAGAGAATCAGCTGGGTTGGAAGGGACCTCTGAGCTCATCCAGTCCAACCCTTGATCCAACCCCGCTGTGGTTCCCAGCCCATGG